TCTTGGCGATTATTTCGACTGGGACACTCACAGGGATTGAGTTTGTGGACAGCGACAGGAGCGCTGGAGACCAGTGAGCGGAGACGTCGGAGGGCGACATTGAGGAGGATTGCACATCTTCTTGCACGGTATCTTCTTGAGGGTGATTGACTCCTACATGTCAAACGACCCTAGGTCTGAGACAGTTATTGGTCCCCCAAGAGGGGAGGGTCCGGTCCCATACCTCGGAGATGGCTATAGTCATTTGGTCGGGACAGACTTTGCTATGCAGGCTTATCGAAAGCCTCTTTACGGAGATCGCTTTCTCGAGGTTTCCTACATTTACTCTGGTGGGAGAGGACGTATTGAGATATTGATTGGAGTTACAGGCGATATCATTCTTGCGGAGGAGCTTTATCTCAGGAGCGTCACAGTCAAGGAGATGGCTAGATGCATGACCTATATCTGCAAGATTGATCCAGAAGCGCCTCTCGACATCAGCTACGTGGTTCCAGAGTCGATAGCCATGCGAGTTCTCAATGACGAGGTGCCGGACAGGGAGTCCCATACGGCAACACTCACTCACGAGGGGGTACCGCTTATTATCATTGATTGAGGTTCTCTCTTTTCAGTCACTATTAATGTATTACGACATTATTATTTATTAGTGACAGCAGCCCTCCAATGGCTGCTCCGTGCATACTCTGTGTACTACTCTTCAGTCTCGTATCTCTGGTCATACTCTTGCAGAGTTTGGTTTCTGGTCTTCTCATTTTGTCAGTGTCAATTGCTCTATGATGCATGTTTGTTATTTTTCCTCCTTATTTTATGCAGGTTACACTCAAGGCAGCTTAAAGGACTCCTGAATGATAGGGACTCTGCCAACCTTGAGTCTATCCTTTATACGGGGTCAGGTGCAGGCGATAAACCCGAACGCCCCACTCTAAGCCGTGTCGCCGCTGGCAGGAGGGATAACCCTGACTACTCGGCTGTATGATAAAGTGTGACTGCCTCTGAATACACCACTATTTTTAATATCTACCAAAATCCTGCGTGACAGCCTGCCAGTCCTCCAACCCACTGAGCTCGGTCCGGGGAAGGACATCCAACCCGACCCTTGAAGCAGTGGGGCGCGACACCGGTCACACATCGGTAGCAAATCAGAAAGGACACGAGCGGAACTCTCTGCCAATTGCAAAATTGGTGCCTCACAAGGTCACACAGTGCGAGGCCTACATCCTTGAACATTTTTTTTTTTTTAGGCCCAACAAAATTCGTTTCTATTTTCCTTAGCCTCGGCCACGTGAACGGGTGAGTTTTTCAACCTCACTCGCGGTGCTAGACTCCATCATTCAACTGAGCGATTGGTGTGCACACAAGAGCGTCGCCACGAGGGAGGATGCCCTGTGGTTTTCCTGCCACCGTTCACACTGGAGAGTGTGCTACTCTGTGCGCTTGGAGTTGCGGTGGCAGCCTTGTGGCGGGGTTTGTTGTGAGTTGAATAGGCGCGGCCTTGTGGCAAGGAGGACTGTGAGTGCATTGTTGGTGAGAAGCACAAGCATCTTCATCCCCTACAGTGGAGGCAGCCGTGGCCTGGCTCAACGTGCAGTGCAGGAGGATATTCGTTCGCGTTCTGTTCTTGCTCCTGCAGTTCTTGCTCCATTGCGGGTCACTGTTGGGACCCAAACGCCAGGCCCCTCCTGCCAGAGCAAGAGAGCTTGTGCGGCGCATCAGCCATGGTCTGTTTCCATTGAGCAAAGTGCCCATCTTCCATCATATCCAAGCAACAGCATTGACATATGCGGCAGACCCACCCAATCACGTCCACCCCTGGCCTTCCCTTCACGCGCCGCTTTCGGGTCGTACCCACACTACAACTTAACTGGATGCAGGGTAAGGCAAGCCCATTAACTTACATCCCAAGCCGAGTTGCAAAAGTCCCACTGAGAGAATGCAAGCATGGCGATTTCGTGTGTGACCCCACAAATGTGTGAGGAATGTGTCCTCAAGGGGCCCATTCCAACATGCACATGATATGGGCTGTGGCCCCCAACAAGCATCGTGCCCACCCTAAGTGAAGGCCGGCCTGAAAATCCATGAGAGGCCCTTATCTCAGCATTTTCCAATGTGGGTATCAGACAGTTGCAGCACGCCAGTTGGTTGAAGTGCAACGTGAGCCTCTCCCTGGGCTCCCTCCAGAGACAGCAGCTGCGTCAAGCAGTTGAGCCCAGGGCCCGGCCTGGGCACACGCAGTGTGAGGCCAACACATCACGAAGTGACTGCGGGCGAATCAGAAAGCACCATTGTCGTCACAGAGGCCCAGCGAGCCAACGGGAAGACGGAAAACACTTGGAGCCTGGAGGCTGCCTGGATGTGCCCAACCAGAAAGGACCCAGGCCCCCAACTGTCGGACAGGGCCTGGACGCAGACACTGGGCCCCGACTGGAAGCTACTGGGAGCCTCCCCAGCCAGGCCCACTCAGCCAAACATGGCCACTACTATAGGAAAGTCGCTGGCCAGGCTGAAGTGATTCTTCCTAGGCAGGCAATGCGGACACGCTGCTGGGTTGCTGTGCAAGTGTCTGCATGCCCGCTGCTGGCTGGGGCGCACACGGGCGCTATGAAGTGAGAGGGGTGCTGCAGGGCAGCGGGCGCACGGCAGCCATAGCCGGGCTGCAGGGGCGCATGCGGGTGATGGACGAAGGTGGTCTTCGGGTAGGAGGCACATGAGTGGGTGGATAAGGTCTGATGAGGGGAGGAGAGAGAACGTACCTGGTGTATGTGGGAGGTCGGCATTGGTGTTGACGTCATGTACATTGGTCTTCAACGTCGGAGTGATTTCTGTTGCAAGAATGTAGATACGCTAGATAGGCTCAGAAAAGAGTAGGCTGGGCGCTGGGCGCCAGACAGAGATGAGCGACATTGAATACTGTGTTGGTGGGGCCTGAGGGCGATAACATTGGCACACGAGTTCACTGCTTTGCTCGTATTTGGATGGAACCTTGGTGCATTTGAGCTCTCTGCTTGCCAGTGCTCGGTACATGACTATCTGGACATCTGTGTGATTTTGCAACTTGGTTTTCTATTCATCGCTCTCGCTCATATTCCTTGCAAATGTGCAAGAAGAGTGTTGGAGCGGGAAGGAAAAAAAAAAAAAATCCATTTTCTTCTATCGCATTTTTTTCCCCCTTTCCTTCAAATAAGTCATCGTGAATATGCCCTGCAATCGCACAGCAGGCGTGTGTAGACATACACATCGTGTGTGTAGTAGACATAACGTGTGTAGTGGCACATCATCCATGTGCGAGAAGAGTGTCGCAGCAGGAACAAAGAAAAGAAAAAAGATCCATTATTTTCTCTTGCGTCTTTTTTTCTTCTTTCTAATTAGTAATCTTGCAGTGATATCAACAGCATTGGATCCCGGCTGTCGGTAATCGTACACGGCAGCAGATTGTCCACAAATCTGTTGTGGCCTCCGTGGAGAGCGCATTCTTGAATCTCATGCCATGCCGCCACAACCTCTTTGGCCAATCCATAAGCAGTGATCACATAATGCAAGTGGGAAAAATAAAAATAAAAAACACGTGCAGAGGGCATGGCTGCAAACTTCACTCCGGGCCAGCCGTTTTCCGCTCGCTGATGGGATGGAGAGCCAACTTTCCCTGCAATCTCGCTGAACAAGAACAACATCAGCGAGAGAAAAAGAGAAGGAGTGTCGTCGTCGTCGTGCAGTGCTACATTCTGACGAAGCCGCACTTGTATACCGAGTATATTTTGGGCCATTTGAGGGGCAAAGCCGTCTTTAGTCAGCAGTATGCCTAGATATCACGTAGGGGTCTCCGGTGTCTCCCAAGTCATGTCTGCCTCGGGGCCTTGCTGGGGAACCTCCTCATCCGATAGCCACCAGCCGATTGTTTTCTTCAAATTGATCTTCATTTCTGATGCCAGTCTGAAAGCTTCCATCGCTCTTACTAATGCACTGAACGATGAGTCTGACGCTCGTACGAGGACCGTGCGGTCATCCGCAAACATTACTACTGTCGGGAATTGTAGGTGGTGGGCTGTTCCTACATTGGCCTCTTCCTCCCTCCTCTTGTGTATTACTAGTAATACATATGAATGAGCATCATTACGAACAGACAAAATATAAGTTGAAGATCTGAGAAGATATGAACAGGAATATATCTCCGCCTTTGCTCTGCCTCCATTCATAGTGTGCAACTTGGCTGTTATGGCACCGGGGATGTGGGCAGCTCGCACTCAACCACAATCAACGTGGCGAGCCTTGTGCATGAGAGGCACGGTAAAGGGGGAGCTGCAAGAACAAATGAAAGAGGTACCCCGAAGAAAGTAAATGTGAACACATTCAAGAACGGGGTTTACATGCAGCTATCGTACCTCATGTGGCTTGCTATTGAGGTGAAACTATTTCATTGTCGGGTTGTCTGAACTCAAGGGCTTTCGTTGTCTGTAACAGGCTTAAATATGCTTTGATTTTGGATCTCCTCATCTAGGTGGAATAGGAGCTGTTGTGGTGAGTATTCAAAACACTCACATGCCACAGACACATATGGGTAGCCTCTGGTGAAATTCCTGTGGGCTTTACCTTACAGAGCATACGGGTCGGAGGAAGCCTGGGGTGATCTATACAGCAGTGCTGCTTTGTCACACGGATGCTGTATGACCTTGGGAATTACTTGCTCCCATTTTGGTGGAACACGTTTTGGCTGGGTTCTATATGATGTTTTCTGATAGCTTTCCTGAGCTGAGTTACTGTGGCATACAGCGCAGCCACACGGGCCTGCAGGGCCCGATCAGACGGAAATTCAGGGCCCTACAGGCCCTTTGTCGTTTCAGCCTAAAAGCCTGAAAACGAGGGCCTACAGGCCCTGTGTCGTTTCAATCTAAAAGCCTGAAAACGAGGGCCTACAGGCCCTGTGTCGTTTCAGCCTAAAAGCTTGAAAACGAGGGCCTACAGGCCCTGTGTCGTTTCAGCCTAAAAGCCTGAAAACGAGGGCCATTTTCAGGCTGTTGCATACTGTAACGTGCAGACCAGAACAAGAACCGACCTTTCAATACAAAGTATAAGATAGCACAACGGAAGACTTAGATACCAGTGATCCGAACAATCACTGTTGCAATGCAGCCCTGAACATACATCATCATCATCATCGTTACATGGTGTGAATGGGGCCTGGCGCTTCACACAGGAAGACTGCGCCAGCCCATACCATACACAGACGAAGAGGAAGGGGATAGACGAAGAGGAGGGGGAAGATGGGAATGTCGTCAACACCAAGTCTTCGGCACAAGCCCAAATAGTCCCTCGTCGAAATGTCTGAATCCCAAATGTCAAGTCTGGATCCAATGTCGTCAAGTCTCAAGTCACAACTCTGTCTCTCTCTGTCGTAGTCTGAGAAGTCAGGTGGCGAGAGGGTGAGAAGAGAAGGTGGACTTAGAAGAGGAAGAAGAAGAACTCTCTCTCTCTCTGTGTCCAGTACTAACCTCTGAAGTTGGCGTCTTGATGCAGGTACCACGAAGATGGAGCTGGAGCGATGGCGCCACAGGTAAGTACCACTGGCCTCCTCCAGTCTCTCTCTCCCACTCTACGATCTACCACCTACCAGCGCCCAGCGCTGAAGACTACAGCTACAGCTATGGCGCCCAGCGCCGAAGACTACAGCTAGCGCTAATACCACCTAGCGCTGAAGACTACTGCAGCACTCCTCCTGAGTGCTGCGGCCGAATCCTGAAGACTACCTAGTGCCTACTGAACTACCTACCCGTGAAGTGCATGGGAATTTCCTATGTACTACCGGGTGTGCCTCCTGAGCCTGCGGAAGGGAGGCAGGGGCTGCAGCTGCAGCTCCTGCTCAAACTCGTGAGGAACAGGCTATTTCTGGCCTGTTCTGCATCCCTGTTTACGTGCCTGAGTCTTAGGGGCAGGTCGAAACAATGAGGGYCTGAAAATGGCCCTCCGTTTCAGGCTGAAAACTCTGGGTCTGAAAAGACCCAGAAATAGGCTGAAACGGGGTAGGGCCTGCAGGCCCTCGTTTTTCAGCTTTCAGGCTGAAACGAACGGGGCCTGTAAGCCCTAAGTCTTAGGCTTTTAGGCTGAATGTCCGGGACGGGCCCTGCAGGGCCCGTGTGGCTACGCAATATGCCACACAGGCCCTCATAAAGTTGACCTGCCCTGAAACTTAGGCACCAGACCACAGTTTTAGCACAGGCCATTTTGGGCCTGTTTTCAAGACAACCTTTGATTGAACTTCAATGCCAGGGTCTGGCACGTTTTGGCATTGGCAAGAGCAGCCTCTCGGATGGGCCAGCACTATATAAGACTGGCCTGCCCTGCAGGCTGCAGGTAGTCACGAGGTAGTTCATAGGGTCTTCCCAGGCACTTCACGTGCAGGAGGCAGGAGGCAGTCTTCAGGATTCGGCAGCAGCACTCTGGAGGAGCTCTGCAATAGTAGTAGTAACGTTAGCAGTAGTCTTCAGCGTTGAGCGCTATTAGGAGCTAGAGTAGCCTTGGAGAGAGAGAGATGGTTGGCGGAGGCCAGGGCGACTTACCTGTGGCGCCATAGCTCCAGCTTTGTGTTCGATGTACCTGCAACAAGGCGCCACCTTCACAGGTTAGTACCGGACGTAGAGAGAGAGAGAGAGAGTTCTCTTCTTCCTCTTCTAAGTCTACCATCTCTCCCTCACGCTCTCGCTACCTAACTTCTCAGTATCTGCAGACTA